CATTGATGATTACTTGATTGAGCTACATTGTGGATGATCCGCTCCGTTGAACTTGATCTACATATTCTAAAACCACAACATACCAAATTTGGGGTGAAACCGTCGTGGTTTGACCCTCCGTCGAGCCAAGTAAAAAGTTCTATTCATTCGAAACTGTTAAAATTGATACGAGTGGATGAATGGTCAAACCACGACGGTTTCACCCCAAATTTGGTGTGTTAGAGTTTTAGAATATGTATATCAAGTTCAACAGAGCGGATCATCCACAATGTAGCTAAATCGCTCAATTGAAGTTACTTGGTCAAACGTTTTTTTCTTTTTCTTTTTTCTAATAAAAACAAAAATATCCTGGCCACAGAGATAGATCCCCCACCAAAGAAAAATGAGTAGCTAAAATCCATTGCTAATTAATATATAGGCTTCTCTAGTCCTTTTCATGCATGCTTTTAGGACGAGATAAAACTTCTATTGTAAAAAGAATAAAGTTGAGGGAGAATAAAGAGAGATAATACAAATATTTTATAAAGATTCAAAGGTACTAATTGGGGAAACTTGAATCTGAAAGGTATCATTACATGAAAAATTTACATCTAACAAAATCCTATGAATGTTTAATATTATATAGGTTAGAATCTTAGAAGAGAGTATAGTACTAATTTATTCTGACATATTTAGAAAATGGTACTCCTCAGAAAAGGATAGCTTTAAGCAACGAAGTTGTTCTCCCTGACCTTTTGTTATTTACTATTATAAAGAATGAGAGCACTTGCTCTCTCATTTTATTCTTTTTTCTTGTTTTAAGCTTTTTGTCAACTACCACCATTAAAAAAATCATTCTCTAATTTAATGAAAAGTGTTAGGTTATGAGATAAGGTAGGCCGTGTCCAAAAAGCCGGAGCCGCGGCCGGCCCGGTCGTGCCCGGGCCGCGGCCGGCCCGGGTCGCCGTTGGCGAACCCTGTCCGAACCCGGCCGGGCCCGGCGGAACAGTGCCAAAAATGGCACTGGTTCTCGAATGGCGGGCCGGCCGGGCCGGCCCGGCCGCCCGGCCATAACGGTCACAAGCGTGACGTGCCAGGCCGGGCAGCGCCAGCCCACCGGCCCGGCCCGGCCATAACGGTCACAAAGGTGACCGTTGCCCAGCCCGGCCCGGGCCAAATCTGGCCTAACGGCCAGATTTGGTCTTTTGACCGTTTTGCCCCTTAAAACGGTCAAAAAACGGCTATTTTTCGAGGGTTTTTTGGTCATTTACCTAGGGGGCTGCTTCTATAAATAGAGGGGGGGTTTCAATTCATTTTCTCACAACAAAACTCATCTATTTCTCTCTCTACTACTCTCTTATACAATCTTATACTATCTCATACTAATATACTATCCTATAATCTTTTGTATTTTCTAATACTTCCAACAAATGGCTTCTGGGTCTGATTATGAAGAGCAACATGCAACTCCTACCGATCCAGAGATGAGTCCTCCTACAACAACTCCTCATCCTACCGGTGTTAATCCTGAATCTGGTGGCGACGAATCTACGGCACCAAGAGCTCCAAAAAGGCCGAGGTCTGATGTATGGAATTTTTTTGAGAAGATAGACGTCACCAAGGATGAACACGGTAGGATCATCTCTCAGAATGCGAAATGTGCGTTGTGCGGCCAGATATTCAAAGCTCATCATAAGAGCGGCACCAACCATCTCAAACGGCATATTGAAAAACACAACAAAGGCCAAAATCTACAAGGTGATATCCGGCAGTCTATGCTTTCCCAATCATCCTCTTCAGGTACCCTCGGCAGTTGGAATTATGACGCTGCCCGAGCCCGGAAATGCGTAATCAGGTTTATTGTTCTTAAAAACCTTCCTTTTAAATTAGTAGAAGATGATGAATTTGAAGATTTATTTAGAGATGGTTTTTATCCTGCATTTACAAAATTTTCTCGTCAAACCTGTCAACGTGATATTTTAAAATATTATGTTGAGGAACAGGGAAAAATAATTTCTTATTTTAAAAATTTAAACTGCAAATTTTCTTTAACTTCTGATATTTGGTCATCTAGAGTGCAAACTGGTTATTTATGTATAACAGCACACTGGATTGATGAAAGTTGGAAAATGTTTAAAAGAGTTGTTTCTTTTATTGCAATTGAAGAGTCACACACTGGTATTAATGTTGCAAATTTAATTGTTGAAGAACTTATGAAACTAGAAATTGATCAAAGAATATTTACTCTTTCACTAGATAATGCAAGTAATAATAATGTAGCTGTTGATTTTCTGAAAATAACTTTGTCATTGCCATGTCATGGTGAGCTTTTTCATGTTAGATGTATCTGTCATATTTTAAATTTAATTGTTCAAAGTGCATTTTCTGAAATTAAACCCATGATAGAAAAAGTTAGAACAGTTACTAATATGCATAATGCTTCTGAAATGAGAATTAAAAGATGGAAACAATGTTGTAAAAGAAAAAATTATAAGCCTAGACTAATTCCAAAAGATGTTGACCATAGGTGGAATTCCACCTATGCAATGTTATCTGTAGCAATAGAATATAAAGAAATTATAAATGATTTTATAAATTTTTATGCTTCTAGTTCTAGCTCTGGTAGTGCTTATGGAATAACTGAAGATGAATGGACAGTTATATGTAAATTAAATGAGATGTTACAAGTTTTTTATGATGCTACTATGTTATTATCTGGTTGTTATTATCCAACTATTACTTTAGCTGCTTTACAAATTTTAAATATTCAAAAAAATTTTACAAAATATCGTATGGATGATATTTTTGGAAGTATAATTTTTGAAATGGAGAGTAAATTTAATAAGTATTTTAGGCCTATTCCTCATATTTTTGGTATTGGTGTTCTTATTGATCCATGCTTGAAGGAAATTGGCCTTCGAAGTTTGTTACAATCATTGTATGGTGGACAGATTATAGACTTAGATGATGGATCCACCCTTACTGCTACTACTCATTATTTAGCTATTAGAAATTATTTTCAAACCTTATATGATGAGTATGCAGCTAGATATGGTGTAGCTACACAACAGTCTTCAGCTTCGGCACCTTCAGCTTCGAGCACAGGTCGAGGTAAAAGTGTAAGTTTTGATAGGTATGCAATGGTAGCTGAACTAACTGGTGGATCTGGAACTTCATCAGGATTAGATGTTTCTGAAATAGATGAATATTTTTCTGCTTCTTTAGTTAGATGTCAAGGAAATGCTTTAGATATTTTGCAATGGTGGAAAGTATATGGATCAGTTTCATATCCTATACTTTCCACCATGGTTCGTGACTTACTATCAGTGCAGGTTTCGACTGTAGCCTCGGAATCCGCTTTCAGCACAGCAGGACGTTTGATCGACGACCACAGGACATGCTTAGATCCGTATACTGTACAAGCGGTGATGTGCTTACAGGATTGGTGGAGATACGAGAAGCGAACACAAGGCATCGAACGGATTGCTATGATTGAAGATAAATTTGAAGAGTTGGGACTAGCAGATAGATATAATGATTAGATAATATTCATAAAATTGTAATTTTTATTTCTTAGCTTTAAATTTGAATTAAATTATTTCGAAAAAAGTTGCAAATGATAGTGATATGGGTGAGTAGGTGCCAACCTAGTTGGGATGTACTCATCTATTGTGATGCGACGAATTTCGAAATAAATTTATACTTGTAAAGGATTTACCGATTATTAATAAAGAAGTTATTTTTATCATTTTTTGTACTTGTAATTTATGTCATTTCATTTCAAGTTATTAATAAAATTTATGACATTTTTTATAATAATTTATAATTTATGGTTTTGTTAAAATTTAAAAAAAAAAACAAAATTAAAAAAAAAAAACAAACACAAACCGGGCCGGCCCGGTGTCCGGCCCGCTCAGGCCCGGGCCCGGGCCCGGACCCGGCCCGGACCACCCGGGCCCGGGTCCGGGCTTGGGTTTTGCCCGGCCCGGGCCCGGTTTTCCGGGCCGGGCCGGGCCGGGCCGGCCCGGATGGACAGCCCTAGGTAAGAGGGGTAAATTTCACAAATTTTGTCCAAATTTTATAAGTGTTTGCACAAATCTTTCAAATTAAAGAGTACTACTATGATCTTCTTTTCTAAAGGACTGACAATAAGTAGGTGAATTTGGCAATCATTCAAAATTGGGCTAAAATTGGTTTGTCCTCATCTTGGAATAAAATAGGAATGGGTAAAATGGGGTCAATATTGACCAGTTTTTCTAAAGCTAAATTTGGCCCTTAGACTAGATTTGTCTTGATCCACTTTTCCTAATCCAAAGCAAAATCGTTTAGCTTAAAATCGGAACAAAATCAATCCTAACTTAGTTTTTGAAGACCAATGTTATTATTCAAAATATTAAAAGATTAAAAGATTTAAGGTACCGTTTGACAAAGGGTTAAGTGAGGGGTTAAGGAGACTTAACTCATTCTTAACCCGCCAAACACAAAAAATCTATACAATGGTTAAAGTGAGTTAAACCTCAATAATTTGCCAAACATAAAAAATATAGAAGGGTTAAGCTAACCCCTCTAGAGGGATTAAAATGAGTTAACCCCTCAAAATGAGGGGTTTACTAATACTCCTATTTAGAAGGATTAAGAGTTAACCCTTCTAATTATAAAGAAAATAGTCAAAATCACTGTTATTTCCAAACATTAAAACTAATCACAATGGCTGAAATAAAACTTATTTAACAGGTTAATAATTTAGTACTTCGGATTATCGAATAGCCTAAGTACATTAATTATTCTTTTTAGCCCCTATTCCTTAACCCTAACGAATAGTAAAGAGAAAACCATCACCTTTTTTTCCCTCCCCAATGTGGCAAATATGTAATTCTCAGAAACTCCAGGTGCATTTCACGAGCTGCAGCCGCAGTCTTTCGTCTGCTTGCGTGAACAGAAAGCATCTCCAGCCCATCAGAATGAATCCATGGAGTTAATATCTTCCATCATAGTTGAAAAAACAATTTTTTTTATTTTTTATTTTTATCGCATTGGAAATAGTTGAAAACGATCTTTAAACAGTAACAACATAAAAAATAAAGAAATTAATTAAAAAAATAAACTATTAAAGCTGAGGAATCCTCGACCAAGAGAGAGAAAGAGGCGGCCATTCCATATCTTCCCTCTCCTCCTCTATTAGAATCTTTTGGGTTCTTCTCCCTAATCTTTTTTTTAATTTATTCCTGGGTCTTAGATTTTTCATCAGTTTTATTTTCATGGGTTTGTTTCTAGCTCTGTTCTTTTGTGTTACTGAAAAAGTTGGTTTTTTTATGGTTAGAAATGGTGAGGAACTGACTCTGATGTGTTTCTGATTGGGTTTTTGAGGGAATTCAGTTTCTGGGTATTGCTAAAAATTTCACTTTCTGATGGAAATCCTCTGAAAGGATTGGTCTTGGTGAAGACATCTCGTTGTATACCCTGTGCTGTTAAAGTTTGAGGGAATTCAGTGTCTGGGCATTGAAAAAATTTCATCTTTTGTTGGGAATTCTCTTAAAGGAATGATCTTGGCGAAGACATTTGTTACTGCTGCGAGAGCTTTGGGCGTTTAAAGGGCTTTGTAATCTGCTGATATGCTTGTAGATCTGATACAAAAGCTTGAATCTTGTAGCAAGAATAATGGAGAATTTGCATAGAGAAACCGGTTTCGGTCTCCGATATATTCAGCAATCTCCAATGGATAGTTTCACTCCAGTTGATTGCAGTACGGGAAGTCCAATCTCAGATGATTTCTTCGGTCTCTCGGCTCTTTTGACTTCAGACAGTTATCCTGATCTCTTCAGTCCCTTTAGCTACTCATCATCCCCCTTTAGCTATTCAACTCTTCAGCAATTCCCTAACTCTTCAAATGATATGAACAATTTCACTTTATCTTCAGCTGATGCCTCTGATGAGAGAATGGTCAGTGCTATCCCCAAATCAATTCCAGGCTTCACTCTTGCTGAGAGAATGCTTAAAGCTCTCTCATTGTTCAAAGAATCATCAGGAGGAGGAATTCTTGCTCAGGTTTGGATGCCTGTCAAGCATGGAAATGGCCATGTTTTAAGTACATCAGATCAGCCTTTTCTTTTAGATCAGATTCTTGCTGGATATAGAGAAGTTTCGAGGGCATTTACATTTTCAGCTGAAGAAGCTCCTGGATTATTTCCTGGGCTCCCGGGACGTGTGTTCATCTCTGGATTGCCTGAATGGACATCGAATGTTGTTTATTATAATAATGTTGAGTATTTGAGGGCGGAATATGCGCATACTCATGAAGTTAAAGGGTCTCTTGCAGTGCCAGTTTTTGATCCTAAGGAGAGATCTTGTTGTGCTGTTCTTGAGCTTGTTACGACGAAGGAAAAGCCTGATTTTGATATGGAGATGGAAAGTGTTTGCAATGCTTTGCAGGTAAAAGATTTACTAATTTTTGAGGTTTTATTGTCTATGGGCATACGCTCATATGCTAAATTTTGTGTATGACCAGTATTTGGGATAGATATACTTGTTACCTACCTGGCTTTCTATTCAACTGCAGTATTATTTATGAGAAATATCTGAAAAGTCAATATACTACTTGTTTGCAGGCTGTGGATTTGAGGTCAATCAAGGGCCAACCTTATCAGCAGGTGCTAACATATAATATTTTTATGCTGGAAATTGCTAATAGGAAAAAAAATTCACTAGTTGTTCTGTCATTTCTTTATACTATGCTGATTTTTAGTAGGAATTAATGTTTATGAGATGACTGCACATTAGAGCTATCAATAGATGGGAACTGGCGAAACCCACAAAAATTTCCTATCTCTTTGTGGCTCATTTTACTAAACGAGCTGTCATGATATAAACATTAATGCAAAATGTTGATGGAAAATTATATGTGACGCTTTTAACACTTCTACTTTAGATTACTTTGCAGCTCTTGACAAAAAATCAAAAATCAGCATTCAACGAGATTCTAGATGTGCTGAGAGCTTGTTGTCATGCTCACATGTTGCCTCTAGCACTAACTTGGGTTCCCTTCTCCTACGAAGGTGATAGAGTCCCCGACGCTACAAAAGAAGTTATTCGAGAAGTAAACTCAAATTTAATGAAAAAGAGTTTACTCTGTATTGAGGAATCAGCTTGTTATGTGAATGATTCAAGGATGAATGGTTTTCTTCATGCTTGTTCTGAACATTGCCTTGAAAAGGGGCAAGGAATTTCTGGAAAAGCCCTTCAATCGAATCACCCCTTTTTCTCTCCCGATGTAAAAGGTTATGGTATTAGAGAATACCCACTTGCTCATCATGCTCGAAAATATGGATTGAATGCTGCTGTTGCTATTAGATTGAGGAGTAAACTTACTGACAATGATGATTATATATTGGAGTTCTTTCTTCCTGTCAATTGTAGAGGGAGTACAGAGCAACAGGAGTTGTTGAATAATTTATCGAATACTATGCAGAGAATTTGTAGGAGTTTGAGGACAGTGTCGGATGACGAAATACATGCAACAGAAAAGAAAGTAGGGACTAATTCACCATCACCTGAAATATCCATTAAGTGCCCTCAACAAATGGATAGTGATAATGAAGTGTTGGCTGATTTTTCTTTTGATGATATAAGTGCAAAATCTGGTGAAAGAGGAGATGCTAATTGTGAGCAGGTTTTTTTTCTCTCTCTTCGTGTATCTTTTTTTTTTGTGTAGGTGTAGAATTAAACTGTGATCGACTAATTGATAGGCTTATAATCAATTCTATTTTTCACGCTTACTAATATAGAGTTAGCCTCTCCTTGATCTTTTAGCTTGCAAATTTTATAACCCGGTTAATATTAGTTTCGCATTGAAGAGTATACTATGAACTGATTGTCTTTAGTTCTGTTAAATTACCTTGTTTGTCTTTAGTTCTGTTAAAATACCTATAACTCGAATATGGTGATAGAGTAAAGCAATATCAAAACTTAAGGATGCACTTTTCTGATATTAAACTGATCTATGGAGAAAGATTTACCTTCTAGAAGAGAAAAGTACTAGTGGTATGAAAGGCTATAAAAGAGAAGCAAGTCAGTATGTAGAAAGAATCTAATAATATGCTAATATTTTATCATGTGGAGGACTAATAATTGGACTGAGAAGAAACTTGGAACCAGAAAGAAAATAGAAGAATGATAAGAAAATGCCATATTCAGTTCAAAATGCCAATGAACCTTAAGAAATTCTGTTACAATGTCCCCTCAGGTGCATGAACCAGTCATCTAAAAAGGGATCATGAAAACCTATGAGTAGCCAAAAGAAATGCATCATCTTAGTAAAGAAGTACACCAAAACTGGACTATATTACCTTTTAGAATTGTGAATATTTGCAGTCACTTTCAAACGTCCCAGATGTTTAAATATTTCCAAGTCTGTGAAGAATAGGCGTAATGTTTTTAGGATCTCAAAGCTAGTTATGAGATAATTCAATTTGTATGATTAGCGTATTGAAGGGTGTTAAATTCAACTTTCCACTTTTCCATATTTGTTGTTTCTCTCAAGAAACTGACTCTTATGATGATCTACTTTTTACTATTTTCCTATTTTTGACATTATTTCTCTGTGCAGTTTAAGTCTGACTCAACAAAGCAGACTGAGAAAAAGAGGAGCACATCAGAGAAGAACATTAGCTTGAGCGTACTTCAGCAATACTTTTCTGGAAGTCTCAAGGATGCGGCAAAGAGTATTGGTGGTGAGCCCCCTCCCCCCCTCTTCTACTTTTTTTTTTTTGATGTCAAATGCTAATCTCTTGTCTTACCATCTCTAAGCGTCTCCTAGCTAAAAATTAGGGCTACAGGCGTTAGACACTTTGTTAGTGACTTGGCGTAGACTAGAACACAATAAAAAGTTGGTTAATCATGTGATAGGCAACCCTATGTTTTATGGAACTATTTTGATATAGATTATATTAATAGATACATAAGAATTTAGTCTTCACATCCTAAATGAGATTTGTTTCACACGTAAGCCTTCTCCAATATTAAAAGAGCCCAAAGTTTTTTTTCTTTTCTTTCGCGAGGCGAACCGATGACCCCTCCGGCCCCTCACCCCCCAACACCCCCACCCTCAAAAAACCAAAAAGACAACCAAACCACCCCTCTCCCCAAGTGTAACACACACACACACACACACACACACACACACTCCTTGCCTACATTGCCCAAAAACGGTTGTTTACTAAAAGAGCCTGAAGTTGAAAAAAATCAGCAATCTGCTTCTGAATTAGATCCTTAAGATGTGGGCCATTGGATAGAAATATGCAAGAACTTTGATAAAATACAATTATTTGAAAAAAAAAACATAAGAGAGGCAAAAAATAATTTAAGGATAGATGCTATTTCATTTTTGCAGTTTGTCCCACAACACTAAAAAGGATATGCAGACAGCATGGTATTTCAAGATGGCCATCTCGCAAGATAAACAAAGTGAACCGCTCCCTAAGTGATAGATTCAGTACAAGGAGTAGAGGGAGCACTAAAATACGACCCGTCAACTGGGTGTCTCGTTGCTGCAGTGTCACCTGAAAAATCAAAAGTAAATCATGATTCTATTCCTTCATCATCTACCCCCGATACTGAAAATGAAAGACTCGTTACGAAATTAGAATTAGACGAAATTCCAATTTCCAAACACCAAATGGACACTTTGTTGTTTGCTGATATCCAAAACGATATCACTGATACTGATACTATCATAAAAGAACATAGTCATCCTTCTTATTCGAGCATGACTGATTCTTCAAGTAATAGTGCTTCAAGCTGCCCAACTTTTCACAAAAACCCGAAGGCCAAGGTGTCATCTACCAGTATTGATACTAGTACAAACATCACAGTGAAAGCTACTTATAAAGATGATACTGTTAGATTCAAATTTATACCGTCGATGGGCTGCCAACAATTACTAGAGGAAATCGGGATGAGGTATAAATTGGCAATAGGAACGTTTCAGCTCAAATATATGGATGATGAGGATGAATGGGTTTTGTTGTCGAGTGATGCTGATTTGTTTGAATGTGTCGAAGTCTTGGAGTCTTTGGGATCAAAGAACTTGAAGCTTCTCGTTCGAGATTTGGCATGCAGCTTTGGTAGTTCAGGGGGTAGCAATTTCTTGCAAGCTTAGAGAAATGTAGTAGGAACTATTTTAGTCTATGATACTTGAATTTTTGGGTTCAATGATTTATGTATCTGTATGATAGAGGGATATAGCGTTTATAGGCGGTTCGAGGTGTTACATCTCAATGTGTACATATATGTAATGTAGGAATTAAATGAAAGTTTTGTGATGGGTTTAATTATTGAGATACCATTGTTTGATCAGTTCCATTCTGATTAGTCAAATGTATGTAAATTTTCGAGATGTAGGGAAATTTATCAGTTTTCTGGGCATCAGTTTGAAAAAGTATGCATGAGCAGGTCGGAGGGTAGTTTGTTGTTTTTGTATTCAAAATTGTCAAATGATAGACTTGGTGAGATGATGAATTTCTTATCAAGCTATAACAAGTGAGGCGTAAGAGATTTTTTTTTTTTTTTGGTTTTTTCCCAGATATTATTTATATGTATTATGTACTCATTTTTTTTACAGAGTTTACTGAAAGTACTCAATATTTTGTTTTTATTTTTACTAATTCTAAAGCTTTTCAAAAGTGCTTTTCTCCACTTTTATTTTTGGAATTTCCTTCTTAGTCACATCAATATCAATGTCATAAGGAAATAATGCACGCCAGGGGGGACTTCGTTAGTTTGACTTGTATATATCTAGTAAATCTTGGTAATAGAATTTAGGGGAAAATGCTTCCAGCCCCCAGAAGTCAAGAAAACGTGCTTCCCACCCCTAAGACTTTGTCAATAGGTGTTTTGCCCCAAAAAATAAAGATTTTGTTATCTGAGCTTCCAAAACACAAAACCCAAGAGATTAAAATATGTGAAGACCAATACATTTCTCTCTCTTTCTCTCTTTCTCTCTCTTTTTATCATGATGTACTGAGATGATAGTTGAAATGATTGATGAGGATTATTTTATTATTTTTGTTTTTTTATTATTTTTGTTGTTTGTATTGAGAGATTGTTAAAGTTACGGGTTAATTATTAATGTTACGAGTTAATTGTTAAGGTTACGGGTCAATTGTTAATGTTATGGATCCTCTCTCTCTCTCTCTATATATATATATCATACTCCCTTTAAAAGCACGAGTTCGGAAAAAAAAATTTAGATAAATATACCCATTTATAGTTTGAACTACCTTATCCATAATCAAATTCTAATTTTCAATGGTCAATATTACCCTTCACTATTTTGAATATTTTATTTATATCTTAATCTATCCTAATCATAATCATATCTTATCCTAATCCTATGTGAACCATGTTTAGCTTAACAATTTAAAAAAACTAATATTAATAAAATATAAAAAACATAAAAATGATATTAGTTTGTTAAGATAAAGAAATTACAAGTAGATAACATATTATAATACATGAAGTTTTGCAAAAAAACCATAAAAAGTTTTAAAATTGCAGAAAAGACCCTGAAAAGTTTAAAATTATAAAACTCATCCAAATGTCTCAAAACTTAAAATAAAAAACATGAAATTAAAAAATTAATATCAGTTTGCAAAGAATTTAAAATTTACAGTTAACACTTCAATGTCTCAAAAATTATAGAAACACCCTCAAAAGTTTAAATTACAGACAAGCACATTAAAATTCTAAAATTTTAAAACTTACAAACAACACAGATGAATTCAAGAGATTACATGATACACCTAAAATTTTTGACATTTAAATTTAAATTTTTTAATTAACACCCTCAATATCTTAAAAATTATAGAAACACCTTCAAAAGTTCAAATTATAAAAAGCCACCCTAAAATTCTAAAATTTGTAAATAAAATAAGATGAATTCAAGATATTACCCTTAGACACCTAAAAAATTAAAATTTACCAAAATTAACCTGAAAATTTTTAAAAAACTCCTTCAAAATTTAAAAATTATAAAAAAACTCTAAATTTTTAAAATTTTTAACTAGCACACATCAAATTCGTTGATTGGTAGACCGCTGAAATTTAATATTTTCAAAATTAATCTATAGTTTTAATAATTGCAAAAGACACCCTCAAAATTTTAGAGTTACAAGAAATATACTAACATTTAAAAAATTACCATCAACACGTAAAACATAGAATTTACAACTACCAAACTTAAAAGTAATTTTTTTTTAAAACTCTTTCAAAATTTTAAAAATTACAAATCACACCCTCAAAGTTCAAAACCACAAAAATGGGCTAAAATTTTAAAACTTGGCAAAGAAAAGTGTAATTGTTTGGTATTTTTCATATATATATATATATTAAAATTTCTAATTTAGGGATTTACTATCCATTTTCAGCATCTAAGAATAGTCTAAGTTGATACTGGTAAACAAAAACAATAAGAATTGATTAAAAACATCCGGTTAATGGATAAAATTTTTAAAAATATTATAGATTAAAAATTATCGACACTATATAAATTAAAGTAATTTCATATAATTTTAGTAATAAGTTGGGGTAGCCAAAATACATTCGTAACATTAATTGATAGATGTTTAAATACATAGAAATGATAAAACACTATAATATTATACCTTAGCATTAATTGATTTTAATTTAGAAACTTTAATCTTTGACGTTAATAATATTTATAGGGTAAAAGAATACAAGGAATTACATATGGAGAAACTATTAGAATATTTAGAGATAACTTTAAAAGAATTGAGTTATTTCCATTGCAAATGGGAAAGTGATGGAAATAAATCTAAAATTCAGAAAACGTCAATGAATCACTTGAATTGGCATTAACATAAGACATATCTATTAATGAAGCACTGAATGAGTTACATTAAAAAATAATTTAATAACTTTATCCTAATCAAAGAAAAAATCTCCATGGAAGACATAAGAAAAATTAGTAAGTATTCATAAATTCCATACTGTGTTCTTCAAATTAAATATTAATATTATAATCTAAGAGAAATTAGTAATGAATAATGCAGGTATTTATTTTAGATCTTTATGAAAAATGATAAGGATAGAGCAAAGGTAATATTATTGAAATAACAGAAATTCTTATTGGATGCACATCAGAAGAATTCATTTTAGAGGAAAATAAAGAGATAGCTTCTAATTTATTTAAGTAATAAATTAGGAACACAAAGAATTTTATATATATGAAATTAATATTTATTCTCATTGAAATAGAAAAAAATCAAAGTCTATATTTTGAGCAGTTTGTGTTGAACATCATAAGTACATTTGACTTCTTTGTAAAGTTAAATGAGATGATAAAAAATTAACGAGCCTAGGAAAGATAATAGCATAAAAAATACAAAATTAGCCTGATGTCACAATTGATGTAGATGATGAAGACAATACTCTAGAATTGTCCGAGAAATGATAAATGATAAACCTGAAGAAGGATTGATCTTAACTCAATAAAAAATAAAATAGAAGAAATAAAAACAATATTTTATGAATATTTTATAGAATAGTTTAATTATTTTGAGTGAAATTAGGAATCTTTAGAAGGGAGTTTCATGAATTTTTTTCAGTACTTTTATATTCTTATGTGGATGTTTTTATCATATAAAAGTATACTAGAGTTAGCATTAATCTTTAATTTATATTTTTTTATGAAGTCTATCAATGATTAGGAATAAACTTCATATTCTCTTTTGCATCGTTTTAACATACTTTAAATCAATCATTTTGCCATATTGGTTTTAAATATTCATATATATATATATATATATATATATATATATATATATATATATAATGATGTTACTTTGATGGTATTGAAATGATTGAAGGGAATTGTTATTTTATTATTTTTATTTTTTATTATTTTCATATTTTTAGAATATTCGTTGTTAAGGATAATGACTGCTTGTAAATGTATATATATAATGATGTTACTTTGATGGTATTGAAATGATTGAAGGGAATTGTTATTTTATTATTTTTATTTTTTATTATTTTCATATTTTTAGAATATTCGTTGTTAAGGATAATGACTGCTTGTAAATGTTATGCATTGATTGTTAAGGTTACGGGTTGGTTGTTAAGGTTATTGGTTTTTTTGTTAAGGTTATGGGTTTGTTGTGTAGGTTATGGGTTTAATTGTTAATGTTACGGGTCAATTGTTAAGGTTACGGGTTTAATTATTAAGGTTACAGGTTAATTATTAAGGTTATGGGTTTAATTGTTAAGGTTACGGGTTTAATTGTTAAGGTTACATGTTAATTATTAAGGTTACGGATTTAATTATTACGGTTACGGGTTTAATTGTTAAGGTTACGGGTTTAATTGTTAAGGTTACGGTTTAATTGTTAAGGTTACGGGTTTAATTGTTAAGGTTACGGGTGAATTGTTAAGGTTATGACTCTCTTCTCTTCTCTCTCTCTCATAACCTTAACAATTAAACTCGTAACCTTAACAATTAAACACGTAACCTTAACAATTAAACCCGTAACCTTAACAATTAAACCCGTAACCTTAACAATTAACCCGTAACCTACACAACAAACCCATAACCTTAACAACCAACCTGTAACCTTCACAACCAATACATAACCTTTACAACCAACCAACCCGTAACATTCACAACCAATGCATAACCTTTACAACCAACTATTATCCTTAACAATTAAACCCGTAACATTAACAACAAAGTCATAACCTACACAACAAACCCATAATCTTAACAACAAACCCGTAATCTTAACAACCAACCCGTAACCTTAACAATCAATGCATAACCTTTACAACCAATCATTATCCTTAACAACGAATATTCTAAAAATACGATAATAATAAAAAATAAAAATAATAAAATAATAATCCTCTTCAATCATTTCAATATCATCACAGTAACATCATGATATATAGAGAGAGAGGATCCATAACCTTAATAATTGACCTGTAACATTAACAATTAACCCGTAACTTTAACAATCTCCCAATGCAAACAACGAAAATAATAAAAAACAAAAATAATAAAATAATTCTCATCAATCATTTCAGTACATCATGATAAAGAGAGAGAGAGAGAGAGAGAGAGAGAGAGAGAATGATATTATGGTCTTCACATATTTTAATCTCTTGGGTTTTGTGTTTTGGGGCTCAGAGAATAAAATCTTTATTTTTGGGGGCAAAACACCCGTTGACAAAGTCTTGGGGGTGGAAAGCACGTTTCTTGGCTTTTGGGGGCTGGAAGCATTTTTCCCTAAAATTTATCGGGAAAAAACAAAAAAAAACAAGAACAAAAAGTGTTGGTAGAAAATGATTTTGTCTTATTCTAGCATTCTCAATCTTGTCACTCCACCGCACATATTTTTAACTCACGTCAATATACCTACAAAAAGGAAAACACTACAGGCAGACCTTAGGGCGCACCTCCCTCTCTCAGCTACAGTATACGGGACCCACTTGAGATTTTTAAATAAATCTCAAGTAAGCCTTGTGTACTGTAGCTGAGAGAGGGGTGTGCTCCAAGGTGTGCATGTAGTGCACCCTACAAGAAATAGGATAAATCACATAAATTATTTCTTTCTCCCATGGCTCCTTTTCAGTTTAAGTATAGAAGGAAAATTTGTTAGGAGGAAAATTTGTAAGGCATCACTTTGTTAGTTTGTTTAACCTAGTATAAGATGTTAAATATTTTTAAATTACTGAAACAATTATGGTAATTGGTTATTTTTTTGGGTTAACATTTTTCTTATGAAAACATTCAATCCTAAACCATTAATCTGGACTAATTTTTTTTTCGTTTTGTTCACTGAATTCAAATTTGATAAATTATGCAAATCCATAATAATATTTTCAATCTCAAATTCCTAATGTATTTATTAATTAATTATAATAAGATAATTACTTTTGGATGAACCATAAACTTCAGTTCTACATTACTTCATGCTCGCCCTAATTAGTTTGAAAATGGTAGACAATATGGAATAATTTGTAAAGATAAGGAACATTTCGTCACGGAGAATGGTCATATTAATACATGAAATTTGGATAATAGGATCCAAAATGCCAATTTTGGATGAAAGAAACTGTAGGAGAGATTTCTGCGCTGGAAAAATTTTAGAGTGGTAATTTTATATCACCTAAAAGAATGTCCAGATTGACTTAGATTAATGTCAGAATGTCCAGATTGATTTAGATGTTGATACCAAAAATAAAAAAAGGTTTGAATTTCAATTCCTTCCCAACTAATGTTTTCCTAAGACATCACTTTATTTAACCTAGTAATATATTTTTAAATTGATTTTTTTACCTTTTCTGTTAACCTTTTCCTTGCAAACAACCAATCCTAAACCCAATTAATCGGAAATAATTTTTTCCCCATTTTCTAAAAAAAAAAGGAAATCATGGCAATAAATTGTCGCGCCCATATGAGATATTGGTGGACACTAAATTAACAATCGCTATTATCCTGCAACTGGATTTACTGTTCAGTGGATATCGAGTTTTCACATAACAAAATAGATTCTTCTACATTTCTTAAAAAAAAAAATTCCCAAACTTTACAAAGTAACCTTTTAAGAGAATTCAAAAGGATGACACGGTTGATTTATTTTGTTTTATTACGATGCGGACCTCCTAAGAATTTCTTGTGAACACGTACGACTGAATATAGTTTGCTTGAGAGATTAATTTCGTGGTTATTTTGGACACATGCTCTAAGATATTTGTAGATGTTTTGGACACATGAGTTAACGTGTAAAGCTAAGCCAAAGCTTATGATTAGGGATTCGGATCCTCTCCACTACAAAAAAAAACAGTGGATGGACCACTACATAATCACAGTCATTGATTATAGGGCTCCGTTTGGATACCATGGTGTTTTTGTTGTTTCCATGGTGTTTTTGCCCAAAATAAAACTCCATGCGTTTGGAAACCATGGTGTTTTTTGAGCTAAATCATCCTCAAACCAAAAACACAATACTTATTTCAAAACACATTTTAGGTGTTTTAAGTTTGGTGTTTTGGTTTTTGAGTTTGAGAAGATGTTAACATAATATCTAACATAATATAATATGTTAGATATTATACTATACTATATTATACTTAATTTAATATATTAATAATATTTATTAAATATTATAAAATATAATAAATAAAATATCTTATATAATAATATAATAACATATTAAATACCAATATTTAATATGTTGATGATGTATTATATAATAAATAAATAATAATAAAATATAAATAACCTAATAAAAAAAAAATAAAAAAGTTATTGATAATAAAAAATAATAAATAATAATATAATAATATACTATATAATAGTATAATTACTATAATATTATTAACTTTTTAATAAATTCTAACATATTAAAGACCATAATATATTACATAATATTAAAATATTTATAATATATTAATTTATTAATAACATACTAGTAATAACATAATATTAACATTATTAATAATATTATATTATATGAATAATAGTATAATATTATATTATATTAATAATAGTATAATATTATATTAATAATAAATAATATTATTATAAAAATATTAATATAATATACAACAATAACAAATTCATATACCAAAATAATTAAATATATAATTATTTGAAAATAATATGTAATAATTATAATATAATATAACTCATTAAAATACAATATAATATTATAATACATTATACAATATTATATTACATTACATTTAATACTTATAATACTATAATAATATAAAAAAATATTATAACATTTTATTTACAATATATTTTATTGTAATTAATATATAATATATTAATAATATGTTTAATACTAATGTTATAATGGGTTAAACTAGTGTTGACTAAAAATACTTAACATGGTGTTTTGAAAACATTTTAAGGAAAAAACACAACACCATAATGTTTTTTTATAAAAACACAACAAGGAAAACACCATGATATCCAAGTTAATTGTTGTGATTTTTTCTTTTAGTGCAAATTAGGAATGAGTGCAATACACGGGGGTATGATAAGTGTTAGATTTAGATTGTATCATAACCGCCTACTAAATAATCAACGATTAAGATTAAAAGCAGTGGTCTCTCCACTACTTTTTTTTAGTGGAGAGGATCCAAATCCTATGATTAGTGAGTTGAATTGAAGAAGGAAATTGTTGTTTTTTAAGTACGTTTCATAGAGAAGATTTACAAAGTTAAATCATTGTCGAAGTGATACAAATCATGAAACAATTTATAATCATCAAAATTTATTTTTAAAGGTTGGAATTAGGGTATTGGTAAAGCGCTACGTTATGAGACGATGCCTAAAATAAGATGTCTTCCCACCTTCCCGTTATGCTTTCACACAACTATAAACCTTTAAAATAAAAGGTTAATCATAAACAAACCCCTTAGACTGTAGTATCATCCAATTGCAAATAGACCATATGTAATTCTATTTGTTGCAAATAGACCAATTGTAGTTCTATTTGTTGCAAGTAGACCCCCCACAATATTGGGCTGAGGGCAAGTACACACTTTTATTGAATTTTTTTTACTCTTCTAAAAGTAAAAAAAGCAACTGGGTATCTGTCCTCTAGAACTGTACAGGGTCTATTCGCTTCCCTAAACATTTTTAACGATCTTAAGATTTAAGAAAATCACTCAGAGATGTATTCGCAACTAATAGAACTAGGATGGATCTATTGGCAATTGAGTGATACTATAGAGGGTTTGTTCACATGTTAACCCTATAATTAAAGCTAAAAACCTGCATCCATGTTTAATTCAATGTAAACGTCCCACCCGAAACATGTCGAAAAAGCAATTTTAGTATTTCTGTCTTCCAATCTTCCATCTTATTTCCTCCTCTTGTACTCCCCTTCCCTCTACCCTTTCCTTTGGTGTATATTTCGCACTATGTTTTCTGGTTAATAGTTTTCTAGAGATCTTTTCCCACATGGTGAAAATAAAGGGAGAAAAAAGAAAAAAAGAAAAAAAAGGAAGATTATTTTCTTCCTAATTAAGAGGACAATTGTCCGAAAATTCACTTATCTAGATACTACAAGCAAGCACTCTTAGGAAAACCGCAAAGTATTTACGTGCAAGGAAAAAGGAAACATTGCGGTACGTTTTTGACATTTTGCATCAGAACTAAGACAATAATATTAAAGAGCAAACTGGACAGAACCAAACATACAACGAGAAATATAGACAAAGGCATTCAAGAACAAGTTAAAAATAATTACTCCAAACATATTTGAGGACCACAAATAAATCCTCATTCACTCCAAGCAAATAATTCTCGTCTAACCCGGTAAACCAAAGTTTACATGTAGAGAGCCCATACCTTGACATTCCTTTTTATAGACTACAAAAAATATATATATATGCCTGTTATAGTTTATACAGTGATCTGCTTCCAACAGATCTTCAGATGTTCCCTCATTCCCTCTATCTGCAAAACTGGATTATGTCATGCCTCATGAAACAAGAACTCGAACATACGTTCCTTCTCAAGTTTAAGAATACACTGCATCTATGAGATCATAGTCTACGTATAAGCTTTCAAGAATAAAATATAATTAAATTATCAGCACACTATTCGAACTGCGCCACTCTCTGAAGAAACAAACTTCGGCTTCCGTGTGACCTGCTCCAAGCACTGGATAACATCCCCAATCTGGAAATCTTCGCAATCTTGAATAACAAGTCCGCAATCATTTCCCTTGCCAACAGCATCAACATCCTGCTTCTCTCTTTTAAGTGAAGCACATAAACCCTCGAAAACAACCTCCCCGCTTCTCAAAAGTCTCAAGGTTGCTGATTTTGTGAATCGACCATCGATGATTCTACAGCCAGCAATTTTTATGTCTGGGCCTTTTGATTTACTCCGCCCCTTCAGTTCAAAGATGTTTAGGACCTCGGCTTCGCCTGCTACATGAGTCTCGAGTGTCCCTGGTGCCTTTTCGACGATGAAGTTGCCCATTTCTTCTAGGAGATGGTATATGACACGATGAGTACATATCTGGAAATACGAGAAAATTGCCATAGTCAGATATCTGATTGTCCAGACAGTAATTGCAGATGGTCCAGGTACCTCAATCCTTGTCGTTTGTTCTAGTTTCAAGGGATTTCCACCATCACAATAGCGGTTTTCAAAATATATGGTGGGTTTAAATACAATATATTGAGAAAATTGGATATTTCTAAAAACAACTCTCCAATTAGGTGTCAAATATGGCAATGTCGAAATGGAAGAATAGTAGTTTAATCGCCCACCCCACCCCCACCCCACCCCACACACACACACAAACAAAAACAAAAAACAAAAAAAGGTGAACGTAGCAAATTGTCCGCATAGTGACTATTTGACAATAATGTAAGCAAATCTCAAGTACTTCAAGTGTGCACATAGCAAATCCTAAAAGTATGTTTTCAGCTCACGCCAACGAAATGTTTCTACCACACATGAAGTGCCAAAAGTGATAGTAGTACAAATAAAAAAGATAACTTCTGAGCAAAACTGGTTACCTTAATGTTAGCATGGGTTGCTGCTTGAGTAATTGCACTTGATGGACTACGTATGTTGAAGCCAACTATGCAGGCATCACAAGCTGTGGCCAAATCTACATCAGACTGAGATATGGGCCCAACACCAACATGGACAATGTTCACAAAAACCTGCCAGAAAAAGATTGAATTAGCCTGAATAAATATCTTATTACGCCCAAAACTAATACGAAAGCAGAGTTAATATTTAGTTAAAAAGAAGAATGTATGCTAATTCACCTCCAAGTAGAACACACCTACATGTATATACACAGTGAAAAACGGTGAGAACATCCGAATGTAATTCCAATAGATAAAGAGTAGTGACTGATAACCCTACTACAAGTGCTAATACTACTTTTGTAACTTGTACTAGCACAAACAAAAGGGTGGGGTCCATAGTGACTAACCATTTTTCTTAATAATTTCCAAAACAAAAGATCCCCACACATTTGTCAGTGGTAGTACAAAAGTAGTATCGACATTGTAGTACAATTATCATTTTCCAACAGATAATGCTTGAAAGTCTGAAAACAATTTTCGTTGCTACAAATGTGCTTCAATTTGTCTTTCTCACTTTGAGCATGCATAATCACAGACACAAAGTACACTTCACTAGATAAATTAAAGTTTCAAAGTAAGATCTAGAAAGAAATATTAATGGTTCTTCAAAAGATGATAACCTGCACATGGCAGAATCTTCTATCCAGAACTAGCTATACATTTTCAACCATATCAGCAGAATGCAAATGAGGCATAAACCTAAAGAATGATGTGGCACAAATTAACAGAACTGCACAATGTAAAGAACTTGGACTTTGTGACCTTTCATCATATTATCAGAAGGGACCAATGATATGGGTGTATTTTCTCTTCGGGAGCTTAGCGATCCTCATGGGAGCTTGAGGATAGAAGATTCTCATGGTAGCTTGAGAATAGAAGCGTCAGGTTGAAGCATGAAACGAAATGGCAGAGCGCGAAATCGAAGCGTCCAGTTTTCAGCTCATGAGTCGACTGAAGCCTGACATGAGTCGACTCATGAGTTGACTCAAGGTTGGCATGAGTCGACTTACGAAACTCACTCTAGTTAACAAAAGTTTCTGCTGAGTCGACTTATGAAATCATGAGTCAACTCAAGGGGGTTCGTGCACGTTTGAGTCGACTCATGACGGGTTTGGGCTGAATTCTAGGTTCCTGCTGGGATTTGTTTTTTAGGGTTTGTATAAATTAAAACTCTGTTGTTTAGGGATGCCTAATCAGAATTTCGTGAGATTTGAGATTAGAGAGGGTTGTTCTCTATTCTAGAGAGATTGTGAGAGAGATTTGTAAAAACAATTGATACTCATAATCCGGAGAAGGTATTTTCCTTCGCCAAAACTGAATTATCTTGTGTTTTCTATTGTCTTCTTTTCAACTCATCTTTGATAATTCCGCAATTAAAGGTGATCACACGGGGACTCGTATCAAGTTGGTATCAGAGCGATCAGATCCTATGAAGGGGGTATCTTGTGGATGGTCCTCACTCGATCGCAATACAAGAAACTAGGCGAGATCATCATTTCTTTGGAAAAGATCCAGAAATTAAGGAATAAGAATATGACTGAAAGTGACAACTCATTGAGACTTGGAAGCAGATCGAGACGATAGGGTCGACTCTCATACAACTCGTCGATCTCATCCATGGAGGGGACAAAAATGGTGAATCTTCTTCCAAGTCCAAGAAGAAACCCGTAGAGTCCGATGGGGAGAACGAAACTTCAGATTCTGACGAGGAGGTCGAGACTGTCAAGACTGTTCCACATCAAGGGGGTAAAAGTACTTACCAGAATCTAAAGATAGATTTTAGAGTGGTGATTCATGTTTATGATGGGAGTGTCGACAGTCGAGAGGCTTGATGATTGGATTGAACGGATGGAGACTTAGTTTACTCTTTATGGCTATTCGTCAAAAGAGAAGATTGTTTTTGTGACATTGAAGCTTTCAGGGCACGCGTTGACGTAGTGAAAATCCTACTAGAAGCAGGAGAAGAATGCAGTGTCGTGGAACAAGTTCAGGGAGCTACTGAGGAAGCAATTTTACCCGATAGGATTCCTTGAGGAGCGTAGGTACAAGTGGTACGGTTTGCACCAAAGATTCAATTAGACCGTTCAAGAATACACTACGAAGTTCCAGCAGCAGGCGATGATCCTCAACATTGCAACGGAGGAATACTTCATCTTCATGAAATATATGACGGGTCTGAATGAATACGTCTGGAAGGAGATGAACCTGTTCACGGTCGAGTCAATTGCAGAAGCGAGCGTGAAGGCTATTGTCATTAAGGGCAAACAGAAAAAGGACAACGAGACGAAGAAAGATTCCAAGAAAGCTGGAGGCAAGTCTAGTGGGCTCTCAATCTAAGGAAGAAAAAAAAAGAGTGATCCGGGGAAGACATAATTGACTTGCAATCACTGTAAGCAGACATGGTACATAGCTGATCGGTGCTGGGAAAAATATCATCATCTGAAGCCGAAAGGGTTGAAGAAGGGGAAAAAGGCATACGTGATAGCACAGGGTCCGAAGAAAATTCCCGGGATGACGGAACCCAACAGTCTTAACCTTATGGCGGAGAAGCAGACCGCAAATGAAGATGAAGATCCCAGAGAGCAGCTCTTTGTTCTTAAGTTACAGGTGAAGACCAGCTTGGTTGATGTCATCGTTGATCCAGGGAGCCAGAAGAATTTGATATCTGAGGCCTTGGTTTAGAAGCTGAGATTAAAAACGGTAAAACATCCGAAACTCTATCCTTTAGGGTGGATTCAGAAGGAGGCGGATTGAGTGTGATCAACCAATGCACTTTTAGATTTGTACTCCACGAGTCGTATATTGACGAGGTCACGTGTGATGTCATTCTGTTGGATGTTTGCCAGGTTATACGAGGCAATCCCTATTTATGCTATTTGTGGGATAGATACGTAGTCTACGACCAGCGGACCCAAAAGTATACGTTCACCAAGGATGACGAGCAGTTCATATTTCGTTCGGCATCTCTTCCACAGGAGACTAACTTAGTGACGGTGACTCAGACGAAGAGGCTAGTGAATACGAGCAAGAAGTTTGTATTGTATTCATTAAGACTTGTGAGGAGCAGCTAAGTAGGATATGCTTGACCACCTTGAGCAAGCTTCAGGAAGGAGATCTTGACAAGTTAAAGGCCAAGTATGCAGATTTATTTTTAGAGATCGTGGGACTACCACCATGACGGGGTGTGGAACATGAGATTATGCTGACAGGCGAGAGTTTCTTGTCGAATATAGATCTATACCGCACATATGTACAGGAGACCGAGGAGATAAAGAAGCAGGTTCAGGAGCTTTTGGAGATGAGAGTGATAGTGCCGAGTTGTTCACCTTACGGGTCGCCGGTGTTGTTGGTGCCCAAGAAGGATAGAGGCTGACGCATGTGCGTGGATTATCGAACGCTCAACAAGATAACGGTCAAAAATCGTTACACACTACCACAGATCGATGATCTTATGGACCAGTTGGAGGGAGCGAGGTTTTTCATCAAGTTGGATCTGAAGTCTGGTTACCATCAGGTGAGGATTCGGGAAGATGACACTTGAAAGAATGCGTTCAATATCAAGCAGGGTCTGTTCGAGTGGTTGGTGATGCTGTTTGGATTATGCAACGCTCCGACGACCTTCATGAGACTTATGAATGATTTGTTACGACTTTTTATAGGGATTATATAATAGTTTACCTCGATGATACCTTGGTGTACAACAGGATCTGGGAAGAGTATCTTGATCATGTTGAGAAGATGTTTGAAGTGCTGCAGAATGGACAACTAAAGCTCAATAGGAAGAAGTACGAATTTGGGAAGGACGGGTTGGTGTATCTCGGCTTTATTTTGGAGAAGGACCAACGGAGGATAGATCCATGCAAGATGACGGTGATCACGAAGTGACCGACACCTAGGACAGTGACGGAGATGAGAAGCTTCATAGGGGCTTGTCAGTATTTTCATAAGTTCATTCGATATTTTTCAACTTATGCGGCACATTTATATGGCCTTACGAAGGCGAAGGTTCAGTTCGAGTGGGGGAGAACGCATGAGGCTTTTCAGTTGCTGAAGAGGAAGATGTCGGGAGCACCGATGTTGGCGTTACCTAAATTGCAGAGGACCTTCAAGGTAGCGACCGACGTTTCTAGCTATGCTATGGGTGCTGTGTTGATACAGGATGGGAAGTCGGTAGGGCGCTGTGTTGATACAGGATGGGAAGTCGGTGGAGTATCATACTGAGATGTTCACAGGTGCTACTCAGAACTATCCTACCTACGACAAAGAGTTTTATGTACTTTATCAGGCGATCAAGCATTAGAGGATGTGTTTGTTGGGTAAGGAGGTGATTGTGCACTCGGACCACAAGCCATTAGAGTTTCTACATATCTAGATGAAGCTACAACAGGCACGTCACATGAAGTGGATGTCCTATTTGATGGTGTTCAACATCATCATTAGGAACAAGAAGGGGACGACTAACAAGTTGGCTGATATGTTATCTCAATCACCAGTGAGGGCTTTGTTGGTGACGACGCGTATTCAGTCCTTGATTCCTTTAGAGTATGTGCAGATATACACATGCAGTAAAGACTTCAGTAGTGTGTTCGAGTAGGTGAAGGCTGGTCGAAGAGGGGAGTACGAGCTTGGAGAGGATGATTTGTTATATTGTGGGACATCGTTTTGCATTCCGGAGGATGATGATAGGTTGTAGTGGATTAGAGAGACACATACATTACGTGTGCAAGGTCATTTTGAGATTCAAAAAGTGCTTCTCAATTTACGACGTCATGACTTTTGGCCGAAGATGCTAGAGGATGTTACCAAGTGCGTTGGAGGGTGTAAGCTATGTTGCATTTCAAAGCCTTCTAACAGGAAACGGGGATTGTACCTACCATTACTAGTGTCTTCTAGACCGTGGAATAGCATCTCTATGGATTTCTTAGGAGGGTTGCCAACGACCAAGCGCGAACATGACTATTTATACGTTGTGATGGACTGGTTCAACAAGATGGTGATCTTGATTCCCTGCAAGAAAACCGTAACGGGAGTGGGTGCAGCGTAATTATTCTTGAACATGTGTGGAAGCACTTTGGGTTGTCGAGTTCGATTATTTCGGATCGGGATAGTCGATTTCTCAGGTATTTTTGGGATTCTTTGTGGAGTTTGATGGACACTAGATTGACGAAGAGCACGACGTTTCATCCACAAACAGACGGACAAACAGATGTAGTCAACCGGACTATGATACACATGTTGAGGGGGTATAATTTCAGGCATCCCAAGACTTGGGATGAGAGCTTACTATATCTTAAGTTTGTATTCAATTGGACTATTCATGGATCTTCGAAAAAGTCACCATTTGAGACGTGCTACGGATTCTTACCGCTAAGTCCGTTCAATCTCGTGTTTTCTAATGAAGCTATGATCGACGGCAAGTGAGTGAAAGATAACGGGCTCAGTGATTTCTGGAGAAAATTGCACATATTCATGTTACGGCTGAAGCTCAATTGAAGAAGTCACAAGCTAAGGCACTGTTTGACAACCAAAAAAAATATCTTATCTAAGAGCTTGTGTCTTATTGACTTAGTCAATAAGCTAGTAGAGCTGTTTGGTGACCAAAAATAGGAGTAGATTATTTTAGAGATTGTGTCTTTTGCAAGTAGCTTTTGAAAAGCTACATCAAGTAGCGTTTGTCTTTGGAAAGGAGCTGCCAATTTTTATCTTCCGTTTTTGCCCCTAATAATTCTAATTTTATATCAATAATATTGCATGTCTTTTTTAGTCATTTAACAAACTTAAGCTAGTTGTACAGCTACTTTTGCCAAACAGCTCTAGTCAATCAGCTAGCTACACAGCTAACAGCTTTCAGCTATAATTTCACAGCTTTCAGCTAGCTTAGCAGCTTTCAGCTATAATCTCGCAGCTTTCAGCTAGTTTTGCCAAACAGAGCCTAAGTATAAGGCGAAGTATGATCATCATCGAGTTCCTTATAATTTTGACAAAAATAACATGGTGTGGCTGAAGTTGAGTAAGGAGCGGTTAAAGGGAGAAGGAAAGAAGTTAAAGCCTATACGATATGATCCGTTTCGGATTCTCGATCAGATTGGTGACAACATCTTCAAGTTGGATTTACTACCTTACTTAGGCATGTATTCGATGATCAATGTCAAGTACTTAAAGTTGTTCGAGCCTCTATTGTTAGATGATGAGGGTAACGACAAAGGGATCTTACCGCATGTTGAAGACTTATGGTTTGATAGAGAAGAGACGCTGAAAGAGGATTACATTTTAGAGCGGAAGGTGACTACGACGAGACGCGGGACAAAGGAGTCGTTTCTGATCGGACATCAATGTCAGGTTCCTAGCAAAGCCAGGTGGTTCAACAAAGAAGGAGCTCAAGAGTTTCCTCAACTGAAGTTCTAACTTGAACGGGACTTCAAGTTCCTAAACTGGGGGAGAGGAAGCCATGATATGGGTGTATCTTCTCTTCGAGAGCTTAGCGATCCTCATGGGAGCTTAAGGATAGACGATTCTCATGGTAGCTTGAGAATAGAAACGTCAGGTTGAAGCATGAAGCGAAACGGCGGAGCGCGAAATCGAAGCGTGCAGTTTTCAGCTCATGAGTCGACTGAAGCCTGATATGAGTCGACTCATTAGTCGACTTACGAAACCCACTCCAGTTAACAAAAGTTTCTGCTGAGTCGACTTATGAAATCACGAGTCAACTCAAGGGGGTTAGTGCACGTTTGAGTCGACTTATGACGGGTTTGGGCTGAATTCCAGATTCCTGTTGGGATTTCTTTTTTAGGGTTTGTATAAATTAAAACCTTGCTTTAGGGATGCCTAATCAGAAATTCGTGAGATTTGAGATTAGAGAGGATTGTTCTTTATTCTATATTGTAAGAGAGATTTGTAAAAACAATTGATACTCATAATCTAGAGAAGTTATTTTTCTTCGTCAAAACTGAATTGTCTTGTGTTTTCTATTGTCTTCTTCTCAACCCACCTTTGATAATTCCGTGATCAAAGGTGATCACACGGCGACTCGTATCAACCAATTTCTTTATGAACCCTAATGGTAATTATGACCTTTCAGAATTAGTACATACCTGGGGACTATTTAGACTCCTCAATGCATCAGTCACAGCTTGAACAGTGCCTTGAACATCAGCTTTGACTATAATAGGTAGTTCAACTCTTACAGGAGCGTCTTCTGAAGGATCTTCAATCTCAATTCTCTCCTCAATAACCTTCCCACGCCTATCTTCCATCTGTTTCTTTTTCCTCCCACTACTTAACATCTTCGCTCTTTCCTCTGAATCCACAACCACAACATCGTCCCCAGCCATTGGAAGACCTTTCAAACCTTCAATCTCGACAGGCATTGATGGCATTGCTGATTCAGCTACTTTTCCTCCCATATCCCTAAGAGCTCTTATTTTCCCCCATTCTGCTCCTACAACAACATAATTCCCAGAAACTAAGGTCCCCGACTTTACTATTGCAGTAGCCAAGGGTCCTCGACCTCTATCAACCCTTGCTTCAACTACATAAGCTTGGGCAGGACCTTCTGTTCTTGCTTTCAGGTCCATCAACTCCGCCTGAAGTAGTAAAGCCTCTTCCAGCTTATCCAACCCGAATTTGCTAAGAGCAGAGACTTCAACAACCTGCACATCACCACCCAAATCCTCCAACATTAATCCCTCTGAACCGAGCTGGATCCGGACCCTTTCAGGGTTAGCTGCCGGCTTATCGCATTTATTAATCGCAACCACGATAGGAACATTTGCTGCCTTTGCATGAGCCACAGCCTCTAGGGTTTGTGGCATGACACCATCATCAGCTGCGACTACAAGAACAACGATGTCGGTGATCGCAGCACCTCTAGCACGCATAGCACTGAATGCAGCGTGTCCGGGGGTATCGAGGAATGTGATTGAAGCACCAGATGGCATCGATACGATGAAGGCGCCTAGATGTTGTGTGATACCGCCGGCTTCTTTGGCGGCAACGGATGTTTGGCGTAGGGCATCCAAGAGGGAAGTTTTGCCATGGTCGACGTGGCCCATGACGGTGACAACAGCTGGCCGTGGTTGAAGAACTGCCCCTTCATCAGAAAGCCGCCTTCTAACATTTACACCAACTTCCTGCAGTAAATGAACTTGTATCAGTATGTATATCAATATTTCAAGCTTAAAATATGGAATATGTGGAATTAGAGCCGACATTGAAAAGGCAGTATGATGAATTGATAGCATTTTGCTTCTAAATGCAAGGCCTCATTCCATGGTTCAGAATGACGGAAGCTAGACATGAAACATTGTTTCATGATCTACTTGCGACATTCAATAGGGGGAAAACTTAGACATTCATACTGATAATAAACAAAAATAAAAATCATGGCAGATAGTCTCAAGTAATATAAAACAAAAAAGGCCAAAATAAGACGAGGAAGTGTGAGCATGCATTTAGTAGTAACACCAATCTGAAAGCATGTTTGGCTACCCAGGCAAGGTGAAATTGTGAATTATCATTCACAAAGTAGGTTAATCCGCTTTTGGATGTTTGGTACCAACCATTCAAGTGGATTTTTTGGGGGTAAAATGCACAAAAAATAATCTGGGTACCCCCACGTTATTTTTTATGTAATATTATAGGGTCGCCGCGGGAAGGGGAAAAAACAAAAAATCCATAAAAAATCATGATTGCATATGTAACCCAAAAGCTTCAAAATTGATATACCCCAACTCTTCCATAATTGCATATTTACCCCCAATCTTCATAATTGCCAATATACCACGCAAATCTTCAATTTTGAGCTATTATACCCTTCAAATGCAACCAAGTTTCTAAATTAACATTGTATGGGTTACTTGACCAAAATAAACCTTCTCTCCTTCCCAACTGCTACAGCCCTTCATCTTTCTCCTTTTCTCAAAGATTTTAAGGATATTGGCAATTATAAAGATTTAGGGGGTGACTGCAATTATGGATTTTTTTTGGGTGGCGCGATTGGGGTTACACTGGCAATTATGAAGATTTGGAGGGTAAATATGCAATCAGGGTATATTGACAATTATAAAGATTTGGGGGGTAAATATACAATAATGGAAGATTTTGAGGGGTACATAGCCAAATAACTCTAAATTATAATGCATTAGGTTGACCACATGCAAATACCATTATGCCCCTCACGTTTTCACAAAATCTCAGACCATGCCCCATGTATTAACTTCCAAGTAAAAACCCATTTATATTCAAATCCATGCTCTTTTGGCCATTAATCATTATGACCCACCCATTTACCAAAAAGTTAAGTATGAAAAATAGGTCATATCCACCAAACTTACCACACATTCTGAGTTATACCGTAAGAACGTGGGTTTATAATCCACAGACGGATTATAACCCAAGTGCTTTATAACCAGTGTTCCCAAACATGCTATGAATATAATTTTCCAGAGTATAGGCAATAGTTGTAAAAATCAAACACATACATACGGATTAAAAAATAATGTGGTCCATAATAACAAAGATACTTAATTAGGACTAGGGACTTCTCTGTGAAGGAATTATCAGCCATATCTATCAAATGAATGAAATGCAGAACCATAATATACTGTCAGAATAGAAGCCTGATACTAGAGCAGAACAAAGGCACAAAAAAAAATCTAAGAAACGCATAAATACAGCAAGTCTGCAACAACTTCTGTCTGAAGATTAATGTTGGAAAAGTGGGTCCTACAAAAAAATGAGTGTGAAAATATACTTAAGAGTCCGAACCAACATATTTAATTCAACCTGTTGAATGAGATAATTCCGACCAAGGAAAAATATAGAGGTAACATTTAATAACAAAGTATTGAACGCCCAGCCTCAAAGGTTAGTGAACCTAGTACTAATATTTCATCCCTGCTTTAATTAATTCAAGTCCTATCTCATCTAAAGGCGCCCAGGATGGAAGAAGCGACTAAAAGTTGAGAGAGTTTAAAGGTAGACTTCGAAAATCTTACAATTAGCAAGCAAACAACCACCCTATCAAAACGATGGCTTCTGGACAAAGCATCTTACTTCTTAGTCCAGAAGGTCTGTGAAAAGACCTACCTAATCAAACAGCTAAGTATGGATCAAATTTCCATTAGGAAAACTAGAGTAGCAACAAAAGTAGGTTAACATTTCATATAAATGGATCAACTAAAGTTGTGAGTTATACCATAGCAACCAGTTCTGCAACATCAATACTGATGGGGTCAAACTCTGAATCAACTTTTTCACCAACATTTATAACTATGTCTTGCAGAACATCAGTGCCAGCACCTGTTCGCTTAGCTAGCTCACTAAGAGTCATCCCTTCAAAGATCTCAACTATTTTGTCACGAGAGGACTTCACAGTTAGTTTTTGTTTTGGAGGTACATATGGTGCGTCAACAGGGGGTTGGGTCCTAGTTTCTTTTTTTATACGTCGCTCTTTCTTCGGAGTTTTTAAGCCAAGCACTGCCTCTTTTCTTCTCTGTGCCAGAACACTCGAACTGGCATGAAACATCCTATAGAAAAGGGGGGAAAATCACACTATCAGATAGTCAACAAATATATACAAGAAACAAGAATGTACAAAAAGAAAAATGACAGAAGATGAAGGGTTTGAGGAATTGTGGGTTGAGATATCTGAAGTTGAAAAGAATAAACTCGCTACGGACCAGAATTCGTGTTTGTTACTTTTAATCATTGCAGAGAATATTCTAGGTAACATCTGTTCGGGTGTGGCTAATCTCCCAGAGAGATTGGTGGGAAAGCTTGAGTCTTCCAGGGGTTACTTCTTATGTTAACAATTTGTTAAAGTTTAAAACTGAGGAAACAAAAGTAAACCAATATCTTTTTGTTGGAGGAATTGTGGGTTGAGATATCTTAAGTTGAAAAGAATAAACTTGCTACAGACGACAATTAGTGTTTTTTACTTTTACTCATTGCAGAAAATATTCTAGGCAATATCTGTTCGTGGTGTGGCTAATATCCTAGATCTCCTAGAGAGATTGGTGGGAAAGCTCGAGTCTTCCGGGGGTCACTTCTTATGTTAACAATTTGTTAAGTTTAAAAGCGAAGAAACAAAAGTAACCCAATCTCTTTGTTCAATAACTAAAGGTCAGTTAATGAAGAAAAATCCAGAAGAATATTTGTGATGTGGAGGTCACGGTGTTGAATCTCGGAAACTGCCTATCTATATGCGGGGTAAGGTTGCATACATTTGATTCTCCCCAAAGCACACTGCGATGGGAGCCTCATGCACTAGGCCGCTCTCCTTTCTCAAACTAGAAGGCAGTGACGACAATGGACATCTCTTGTTGACAACAAAACAGTAACTAGATGAAGACAGTTTCTGCGAAATGAAACAGCTCCTCTCCCTAGAATTTTTGTAACATCATTATAATGAATTAAATGGGAAATACTCCAGTTCCTACTAAATAGTACAGCACGGCCAGGAAAAAAAAGAACTGCAGCAATCACGTTCAAGCCCTAGACTAAAATATAATCATGAGAAACCTAGCCAGATTGGGTAATAATATTATACCAGTTTAGCAACTAGAAAGTTCACGACTGAGATCCCACAAAGAATATAGATGAAAGAGCTGCATGGAAAAGGGGGATATCAAGAGGAAAGATCTCAGACCTGATATTATGGTTGCTGTTCAGAACTCCATAATTACATGCACCTTTGGGGACATCAACAAAATGGAAATCTGCAAGATACAAACATTGATGATTGATCATCAAACTGTCTGAAACATCAACACTTTCACATCAAAGCAATGCTCAAAAGTATCCTCAGAACCTAAAACCATATGCACAGAATAAGCTGATTAAAGTTTTCTTTTTAATTTGAATCATACTTCAGAATTAAATTAAACTAGCAATGCATCTCAGAAAGATTTCCTCGAACTAAATCAATGGAGAATCAATAAAGATGATCTAAAGAAAGCAACTAATCTCCTTCAAGTATATTCTAAATTCCTTGTGTGTCCCATTAATGATGGATAACAAATCATGCTGATAGAACAATATTTTATGAACAATAACGTGAACAAAATTTTGAGTATTGAAGCCCAATGTACATCACTTTTTCTAGTATTCATAATAAATAGTTAATGTTAACTTCGATTTTTTTTTTTTTTTTTTTTTTTTTTTTTATATACTAAGTATTCCATACAAACATATAAATCATGGTATCTCAAGGTTTCTCTATCAACTTCCAAGTTTCAGTACGCGCGGCTCTAACTAAACTAAACAATCTCGCCGCAAAATTGTAAAACTATATATTGCATGTCTTTAGGCATTTTGCACTAAACAAAACGACTAAAAATTGAAATGCAGTACAAACTTTATTTCATCAATAGCACATTTTCTCAGTTAATCTCGTTGCATTAAGTGAAAAAGGTGTACCCGGTATCGCCTTGCATAAACACGTTCCTCCTCCTCCTCCTCCTCCTTGGTTTGCAGAGAGCAGAAGTTGTGAAATCTTCACATAATGACTCTAAAAAACCAATTTTTATCATAGTTACTCTTAATTTCAACAAAAAACTCTAAGTTCAAGTATTTTAAAATGAAACGAAAAACAAAAAAAAACTGACCTTTTTTCCCATTGTTCTCCATGCCGTCAGCATGAATCCACTCTAAAACAATGATTTAAGCTGAAATGAACAAAATTTAATCTTTCGGGAGATGATGAAGGCGATGACTTGCTGAAGCCCAAAAACCCTAGAAAATTTTGGGGATTTGATGGGTTTTTGGAGGAAGGAGAGAAGGAGGGGGCCGCGACCCGCGTTTCCCGAAGGTAGGGGTGGCAAACGGGTTGGGTCGAACTTGTTGGGTTGAGCCGATCCGTATAAGTGTGATTCGACCTAACCTATTTAATAAATATGTTAATATGATTCGACTTGTTTATTAAACAGATTATTCGACCGGATCCATATAATTTATACATTATTTTTTATATCAAATATTTAAAATAACAAATGAGAATATATCTATTCACCTTAGAAAATTGGAATTACCTTAAAACATGTACTCCTAGCTTAATCCTTAGAAAATTTGGATTATCTAAAATATTCTAAAGACTAAATTCACAGCAGTTAAGGAACTAAACTTTATTTTAAGGGATTTGTTATCGAGTGTCCCTGAGAGGGCACTCCTTACAGTGAAGCTAGAGTTTTAAAAACTGATGAACCAAAAATGAAATTCCCAGAAGTATAATATTTTATACAGTACATTATATTGAATAATGTAAAATAATGTAGTATCATAGGATATAATGTACTGTATAAAATAATGTATTATATTCAATATTATATTATATAAAATAATGTAATATAATATATATTGATCAATATATTATACTTCAACATTATATTCAACATTGTATCTAAAATAAGTATTATATTCAATAATTATATTGATCAATATAAAACATTACATTATATATATTATTCAATAATTATATTCAATTCACAGGATATAATGTACTGTATAAAATAATATATTATATTCAATATTATATTATTAAAAATATAATATTAAATATATTGATCTTATATTATATTAATTATTATATAGTATAGCATGCTAATATAATATAATGTAATGTAATGTAATATAATAATTAATACTATTAATTAGTAATTATAGTACAACATATTATATTTTAATTTAAAGTAAAATAATGTTTACATTATAATAGTATACTAAATAATATATTAAACCAATTGGATAAGTTAATTTAGAAGTAATTAATAGATAAAATTATATTTAAATAAGGTGCCGTATTATTAATTATCCCACATGAATTATCAAATCAAAGGCTTAAATTGTCTCATTATCCCACTTTACCCACTCAAAATATCTCGAAGGGATAAATTTGTTCCATTGGAACAATTTTTCCATTTGGCCCCAATTTGTCCCAACCAATAACCCCCTTAGATTTTTTTCTAGTGCGGTTTGGATGGAGGATAGATCCGATCCATTTTTATATCCGTCAACACATATGTATTTGATCCAGCCGAATAAGTATTTTATTACTAATTAAACCGTTTGTATTTGATTCAAATTTTACTATATGCATGAATTTAGAGCATCTCCAACCACAAAACCCAAAATGGTATAGTTTTTACACCAAGTTGGTGTAGTTTTTACACCAAGTTGGTGTAGTTTTTACACCAATTTACTATTCCATCTCCAACCCATTACACCAAATTTTACACTAAAAAGAATATTATTTTTATTATTCTTATCTTTTAATATTTTTATATATTTAAAATATTTAACAAATTATGTAATTATATAATACATCACATATAATTAATTATAATAATATATTTTATGAATAAAATAAAAATATAAAATTAAATGTTAAATCAAATTAAAATATTATTTTCATAAATTCAACTAAAAATTACATTTAACATCACAAAAAAAACATCACACTTGCAAGCAAAAAATAAAAATAAAAGTGATTATGTCCTAATTTTTATCTAAATGGTGTAGTTTTTCTTATTTATTTTTGAATTTTATTTTTAATAATTATTTTTATACTCTAATTTTATTATAATAGTTAATATAAAATAATATATATTATTAATACAAATATAAAAAACAAAAGCAAAAAGAATAAAGTTTAAAAAAAGCAAAAAGAAAAGAAAATATGAATAAAAGAATAAAGTTTAGGAAAAAAGAAAAAAAAAAGAATTGTGTCATTGCTACAGTGTTGCACCATTCGCAACACTGTAGCACCCCACCAAATTGACGCGGTTTTTAGTGCTACGTTAGAGGAGGGAAGTGGCGCCAAATTAATGTTTTGGCGCTACGTTGGAGATGACCTTACACGTGGTAGGATTGTAACAAAGTATAAGGAATAAAAGGGGAGGAAGTGAGGAATAGAATGGAATAAGGGTGACAAGGTGATGCTCAGTTTTGTTCTCATATTTTCTGTGCAATTAAAAAATAAAGGGAAAATGTATCAATGTCCTAAAAAAATAAAGTGGTTGTGATCAGCCCCCCTGCATTATTTTTTATGTGAGGAATTCCCCAATACATAAAATAATTGTGTTTGAGCCCCTATTTACCTTTCCAACTCAGCACCGAGAGAAATTATTTACAAAACCCAAAACTGCCCTTAACACATTCCCTCAAAACTTGTCTGCTCTCTTTCTCTCTCTCTCTTCTCTCTTCTCACGCTCAAAGCTCAGTCATCTTGGGAACCCAAATTCAAAACCCTAGTTTTTAGTCAAACGTCCATTAAATCTAGGAAAAAAATTCTAATAAAAATTTAAGCAAAATGACCAAGAATCCTAATGTGGGGAAGGGACCGAAGGGTGAAGGAGACAACACCAAAATGGAAGGGTTCATCACCGGCGTCGCTCGGCTCGGTTAGCGAAGGAGGTTGCGCCAAAATCATCCGCCTCTGCCTTCCTATCCCCCACCGACTGTTCTTCTCCAACATCCTTCGAGGATGAGGAAAACAATGAGGCGATGGTGACCCTATTGAGCATGAAAAGGGGATCGAAAATTTAAGCCCGTAAGAGGAGACGCTCGACGGAGGTTGTGCTCATCTCTAAGAAGAAGTAAAATCCTAATCAACTAAGTGATTTTAAATTTAATTAATTTTCGTTATAAGTAATTTGTAAAATTATATTGTTGGATGTTACCTAAAAATATGAGCGGGAAAAAAGGAAGAAAGTTAACAGATTATTTGTTTGAAATGCGATTGAGATTTATGATTTCTGTTTATGAAAAAATAACGGTGAAAAACTAGTTATTGTAGTGTAGAACCAATTTCTTAATTTAGGAGTATGATCTCAACAATATTAAGTATAATCGTTTTGAAGAAATGCATGTTAATAATTATCATTTGTTGTTAGCTGTTAGCAATGCATATCAATAATTCTCATTTGTTAGTATTTAATCTTTTTATTTTATCCCCGGAAGGTTTGGAGAAAGTACAGATATGAAGTTGTCCCTTGCGAGCAACAGTCTAGAATGTTAGTATTTCACAGATTTAATATTTTTATTTTGTCCAATATTATATATCTAATTAGCTTGCTACTTTATATCATGCAGATTTAGTTGTAGAATTTTTGTTTCCTTATATATGAAGGCTATAATCTATGGTGTTGATACACTTCAAGTAACTATTCTTGACGATGAATCTGATGTCATACGTGCCAGGCTTGCAGCTGAACTTCTAGTAGAAGGATGGGAACAAAAGTATCAAGCAGAGATTTTAGATAAGGATGGGAGAAAATTGTTCTAAAAATTGATTGATTGAACCAAAACTTGTGTGCATGTCTGTATTGTGTATATTAATTTAGTTGTGTAAACTATTGATGTGGATGACAAACAATGAAGCAAGTTTGACCTTTATTGTTCTTATTGTATTTTTGATATTTTTGTCACTATATGTTTACGTTTTGTTTTGATACAATATATATTTAACAGGTGCAAATGAAAAGCTACATGTTCACTTGAATGTCAACACGGAAAGTCAATAATTAACATGTACATTTAACAAGTTAACATATTCAGTTGCATGTTATCATGTTATAAAGAAAGCTAACATGTAACAATGAAAGTTAACATATTATGCTGAAAGTTAACATATTCAGCTGATAGTTAGCGTGCAGAGCTAAAATATAACATGTTCATAAAAAAGTTAACATATGCAGATGAAAGTTAACATATACAGGTAACAGTTAACATGTTCACGTGAAAATTAACATATACATTTGAAAGTTAACGTATACACTTGAAAGTTAACATATACAGATGAGAATTAACATGCTCACGTGAAAGTTAACATGTTCAGGTTGAAGTCAACATTTTCAGCTTAAATTTAATATATTCAACTAAAAGTTAACATATTCACTTGAAAGTCTAAAGAATTTAAAAGTCAACATGTATAGTTGAAAACTAACATGTTCATCTCAAAGTTAACATAGTCAAATAAAAGTTAACATGTTTAGCTGAAGTTATCTAGCTAAAAGTAGTTTTAGTACCAAGATATTTTATAGGAAATACAAACAATATACCTCAGTTAAACAAGTACATTATAAAAAAACTTCTTACATTCTTACAAGTGATATTGCTTGAGTACACAATAGCATTTTCGTAGCAGCATATTATTATTTTTGTAGCAGCATATTATCATTTTTTTTACATCTGAAAGTTGACATGTTCACCTGAGAGTTTGTAGGTGTAAATTTTGATCTCCCAAAAACAGGGATTTCGTTTGTATTGATAAGAACAGCTTATTACAAACTAATAATCAAATGTTTACAACAGAAGCGGAGGGAATGCCCTGCTTGTTTAACATGGGTTCCTCGGTGGTGATAGGACGCCTCGCTCGGTGCTCGTGCCGAGTCTGTTTCCCTTGGACGATCCGATCGAAGTTGCTGCCGGAGCTTCAGTTCTCAAATGAGGGAGCCTTTGGCAAAAGTCCAAGTTCAACCTTTGGGAGATTAGCCAGCAGAATATGCAACAGCCAATCCCCCCCTTCATGCTGGCTGAAGATGGGTTTTAATAGGCAAGGGATAGCATGGACCATCCTTGATTCGTGGGATTTGACCACTAATAGAGGTGAGGGAGCCAACCGCCCTAGCTGTGGGATGTGACCACTTAGGGGGTCCTGTCAGCCGCCCTATTCTTGCTAGGTGAGGAGCGTCATGCTTTCTCCCTTGATTCGTGGGATTTGACCACTAATAGAGGTGAGGGAGCCAACCGCCCTAGCTATGGGATGTGACCACTTAGGGGGTCCTGTCAGTCGCCCTATTCTTGCTAGGTGAGGAGCG